TTGAAGTTGAGTGTATCGGTAAAGTTATATTTGGAAAGAATAAACCAGTTTTATTAAGAAAGGACTTGTGTCGCTTAAGTTTCGTCGGAACGAAGTTACGGAAAATCAATTAACAAACGGAAACGTAACAATACCATAATACATGTCCAATATTTGCTGTAAGTACCTGTTCGTCTCACTCTACCAAGAACATTTTCTCATCATGGACACCTTAATACAGTGCATAATGGTCCGTTTTCAACTTGCATAAATTTATAATTGTGCAATAATTTTAATCTATCAGCATTTATAATAGCAACTCAAAAGATTAAAATATAAATCCAATTTTCCCTCAATATTTAATATTTTTTCAGAAAACGGGCATGTGGATAATGTATGACACAGAGTAATTTTACAAATCGTACAAGCATGATTAAATAGAGAAATACCAAGGATATAGGCCTGACTTTTCCAACTGAGTAAAGTGTACTGCAGTGGATTAATTTCAAGAACACTGCGGGAATATATTTATCTACGGTATAATCAACAATTTTCACCATTAAGTGTACAAATTACTATAATTCATAATTATATGCCAGCTAAATTCTGCTATTTCATGTGAGAATCATGTCTGCAGTACTTTGTTTTCACGTGAACATACAAATACACAATCGGCAATGTGCAAAACATTCATACATCTAACACACTTAACTGATGCCCTCCAGTGGCACAGCGGTATGTCTGCGGACTTGCAACGCTAGAATAAGGGTTTCGATACCCGTGGTGGGCAGAGCACAGATAGCCCATTGTGTAGCTTTGTGCTTAATTACAAATAAACAATAAACTTAACTGATATTTCACGCAAGGTTTCTGGAGGGCTATCTGCGCTAACCATCCCTAATTTACAAGTGATAGATTAGAGGAAAGACAGCTAATCAACACCACCCATCGCCAACTCTTGGTCTACTCTTTACCAATGAAAAGTGGGATTGAGAGTAACATTAGAACGCCCCCACAGCTGAAAGAGCAAGTATGTTCGGTGATGGGAATCGAACTTGTGATCCGCAGACTGCGAGTCAAGTGCTTTAACTCCACACCATATCAGACCTGATACTAATAAAATCATTCCACTAAGGAACAATACCCACACAGTGTTGTCTAGTGCACTTATTTGAAGTGAAATTGTGCTTTTGTTTTATTTTATTTTGTTTGTTTTGAATTTCGCGCAAAGCTAC